AGCTCTGCTGGGTTATCTCTAACATCAGACAAACTCATTCTTTGCAGGTCAGGTACGTCAAAGTGACTAACCTCATATAAGCTTGTGGGCTGTTCAGTGAATTATTCTCCTATTTGTTAGCAACTGAGAGACATTACTAGTAATGTGGTTCTGCCTCTAGTTTGTGAATGGTCAGGCCTTCTCTTGACGTCTCTGTGCTATTACAGTGAGAGGAGCCAGCTGCCACTTACTACTCTTGTGTAACCAACCCCACAGGTCCTCAAGCTTGAGCTGCTTATGTACCAGAACATAGTCTAATAAAAGTGGTATTACTCTCCTGCCTCACATTGAAAAGTTGTTTCTATAACCTTCTTCTGCTTTCCAAATCATCAACCCACACCTCTACTGAGCGTCTTAATAATGCAGAGTAGATATTCTTAATTGAATTTATATGATGAGACAGAGCTGCAGGAGTAGCTTTTTTCATTCCCTGGGCCTCTCTCATGGGAACAGGGAAATGGGTTAGCTGCTAGTCCCTGGTTTGAACCAGCACATTGGTACTTACATCATATAGTATGATTCGTTGTTGAATTAGCTTTTCTCCATTTCTTCAAGTCTTCAAGGTTTTAATTAATTAATTGATCTCGTGAATAGGAAGCTAACCATATATATCAGTACATAAGTTATTATTAAATTAACCATTCTTTCTTTCTTTGAATGTCCTGACTCATTTACATATGAATTCATGATGCATGTATTTTTCCCAGAGCAGAAGTTGTAGTTTGCAGATTAGTGATATTGCTATCATTTCTGAGTCACAGTGAGGATTTAGTACCAGACCACTGAGCCGCCGTTGAGTTTAACTGTGGTAAACAAACCAAGTGTTTTATCAGCGATAGGCGCAAAATAAATGAGTGTACAGTCACATTCTGTCACTGTCAGAGTTTCATGCTGTTATGGTATAGATAAGTCCTGGAGAGCCAGCAGGGAGTCAGAGAGAAAATTGAACAGTTAATTCTCATAGTTGAGTCTTGGAGGGAGCAAATATGTACACTGCATGCTTCGTCTGCACCTCTTTGGGTCATTAAGCCATGGCCGCCAATGCAGAAGCTATTTACTCTGTTAAATGATATTGTAAGACACTTGCATACTTTTCCGTGGTACTGATTAGACAGTTGCATAAGCTGGTTCAGTGTAACACCTTTTTAATTGCCTTCAGAATTGCTTGGTTAAAGATCTACTGAAAATTTAATGTCAAGGGGAATTTCAAATACATGGCTTTGGCAGGTACAATTTTCAACATTTAGTAATGTCACAGACCTTAGTGACAAAATAGTACCATCTTTAGATAGGCTGCAAATATAGTAAATATAAAACACCGAAATATTTGATTTACTTAGACAGTTAGCATCTCTGAGAGCGCCCTTTATTAACAATCACACCTTCCTGTCCTTTGCTTTTACCATGGCTTTTCTTATCAGATTGGGAATAGTCAAATGTGCAGGCTTCATGTCTCACCTTAGATTTTCAAACAAGTTCACCCGGTGTCTGGGTCAGACATTCAGACTTGGTTTTGTCTGAACAGCATAGCCTAAGCCAGCCATTTCACCATGGCAGAAAACAACCATTGCAAAGCTGAATATTTTGATCTTGGGCTGCCAGGTCAACTCTGTAAACTCCAGGCAGGCTAGAATGGAAGCTATCTTGCCTCTTTACCAAGGAGGGCTAATTAATGGAGTGTTAAAGAGATAGTTGTCTTTCCGGCAGGTCTTCCATCTCTGCTGAGAAACTCTGAAACTCATTTAAAGTAACCATTTGGCCCTAATGAAGCTAGAACACAACACACTTATCTCCAAGTTCTTATAAAAGGTCTTTGGACCACATTGTTTCTGATCTACCAACCATGGGACCCTCAGTGTATTTTTATTATTCCCCCAATTTTCTTTTCTTTTCTGCATTTTGGTTTTCATTATTTACTCAAAACCATTGACAGAAGAGAAGACCATACATTTGTATTTGTAAGTGAAACAGCAAGATAAACTTAGCTGGCATGGGTTTGTTATTATGCATCAATCTACAGTATATTATCTTGGTAAGCAAACTTGTTTGTTAGCTCTTCATAGCTTTAAAATATATTTCACAGACAGAAGACATCAAAAATTATGAGCAAACAAGACATCAAGTATTGCTTGGGGGTTAGCAAACTGTTGCTATAGAAGCTGCTGTGTAGCAAGAAAGGTCAGCAGCCAGCACACAAGCACCAACGACACTCAACAACTTTCTTCATTCTGCAGCAAGCATACAAAAACATCAAGTTTTTAATAGCCCAGTCAGTTTACGCTCCATCTCCGATGCCTGTCATTCAGGAAGAGCATGAGAGCGAGCTGTTAATCACAACTAGTTAGTTTTCCATAAATTAGCTTTTCCATTTAAGAGCTGTGGTTGTGACTAAACATTTTTTTTAGCAGACATACAAGGCAGACAACTAGTGGACTGTACGGAGATATTTGCTATTTGATCATTGATTATACCTCTTCTTGGAACTTGACGATTTTTTGATTTGGAGGTTGCTTTTACTATGGAGCAACTATGCAAATATGTTTAACCATTGAAATATATATAATTTAACTTTGCT